CACTCACCTCAGCCTCCCAAAGGCGCGGGATGACAGGCTGAGCCACCGAGCCCGGCTGTTGGTTTGTTTTTTGAGCAGGGCTCTCCTTCTGCTGCCCAGGCTGGAGGGCAGTGGCACAATCACAACTCACCACAGCCTCAACCTCCTGGGCTCAGGTGATCCTCCCACCTCAGTCTCCCAAGTAGCTGGGACTACAGGCATGCACCACCACGCCCAGCTAAATTTTTTTTTCTTTAGTTTTCTCTCTCTCTCTCTCTCTCTCTGGTTGTAGAGACGAGGTCTTGCCAAGTTGCCCAGGCGGGTCTCGAACCCCTGGCTCAAGCAATCCTCTCACCTCAGCCTCCCAAGGTGCTGGGATTTCAGGCGAGAGCCGCCACGCCCGGCCAGACATGAGTTTCTGTCTGCAGTTCCCATCACAGCATTCACCCTCCTCATCCTTCCTCAGCCCGATGGCCCCCACCTGGGGCCTTCTCGTCTCTCTACCCGGTCAGTGGTTCTCAAAGTGTGGCCCCTGGGCCAGCAGCACCAGCGATGTTACAAATGCATATTCTCGGGCCCCTTCCCATTCGGCCCTCCAGACGTACCAAGCCAGGAACTCTGGGGGTGTGGCCCGACGGTCTGGGATCCTGCCAGCCCTCCAGGTGACCCGATGATGCTAAGTTTGGGAGTCATTGCTCCGAGTTGACGCCTCTGGCCCTGCCTCCCGACTTCCGCCCCTCACACGTCCACTGCCCCAGACCCGGGACACCTTATCTGCAGCGGCCTCATCACTCAGCCTCCTTTCTGGATCCAGCTCGAAGCCGATCTCTTACCAGAAGCGCTCGCTGATCGATCATGATTATGCCTCATGTTTATATAGCATTTTTATCTTTCCAAAGACCTTTCACATACACTGGCTCATTTTATCTTCCCCACAGCCCTGGCAGGAAGCGGGGGGAACACGGCCTCCCCGAACGTGTGAGGAGACGTAGGCTGGAGACCGTGAGGGCTTTGCCCAAGGACGGAGAGCCCCTTAGGGGCAGAGCCTGGGCTAGCGACCAGCGGTTCCCAAAGCGGGGCTCCCTGGCCTGCAGTATCAGCATCACCGGGGAGCTGGTTAGAAATGCGGATTCTCGGACCCCCCCTCGGACGACCCTAGGGTGGGGCCCAGCACCTCCATTCCAACAAGCCCCCCACGTGCTTCTGCTGTGACTAAAGCCAGAGGCCCACCGCCCTGGACCCCAAGCATCCCCCCTTCCCCTGGAATCACCTCGCCCTCCCAGAGTTATCATGGTCAAGTTCACGGGCGAATCTCTGCAATCTTCTCCAACCACCACACGTCTGTGTTTATCCATTTCATCGCCCCAATAGATCGAAGCCGGGAACTAGGTATGACTGAATTTCATAAGTACCTCATTTCTCGCAGAGGGCATTCCAGTCCACGGGGCTTCCCGGCCAGGTGTCGACGAGACGGCAGCAGCCAGTGGGGTCAGGAGGGTTTGTGATGGTGTGCTCGCCCTTTGGCCCCATCGGTCATTCCATGCTCGTACAGACAAGCCCCTGTGGTGGCAGAGAAACCCTCCGAGGTCTCCCCCTCGAGAAGGCGTGTTGTAAAGCACCATCTCCAGCATCAGCTTGGTCACCTTGGCATGGGCATCCATGGGATCTTGCTGAAGTGTGGACTCTGACCCAGCAGGCCTGGGTGGGGGCCTGGGAGTCTGACACGCTCCCAGATGTCACCAGTGCCGCTGGCCCAGAGACAACTTTGAGCAACAAGGTTTGTACAGCACTGATTCCCTGGCAACAGGGGAGGGACTCAATCACCAAGAAAGCAGGGTGAGAAGTCTGCAGGGGACAGTTCCCACCTTCTCTGGCTTCGTCCCTGACACTCTGCTCCGTACTTTACGTGCCGGCGACACTGGCCCGACTGCTGGGGTTTTCCTACACGCATCATTCTCTTTCTCATATCTGCCTGGAAGTTCCTTTCCCCTCCACGTTGCCTGGCTGAGACTCCCCCTGGAAGACCTTTCTGGACTGCCCGTGGCCAGGCGTCCCTCCCTGGGGCCAGGAATCCCTCCTGATCACCCAAGAAACCCTGCATGTGCTCTGCCGTGTGCTTGTATGATGGTTGAGGCATCTACATTCCCCAGGGCACCTCGAGCTCTTCCTTGACATCGCTTACTAATCAGACAGACTCGAGGGGCTCCCAATCAGCTTCCTCGAAGAAAACGTCCCTCAGAAGGTATAAGGTGACCAGTTAGAGGGGACAAGGGTTCTGTTCACGGTACCATCGGATCAGAAACAGAAGCAAGCGGGCTGGGTGTGGCGGCGCACGCCTGTAATCCCAGCACTCTGGGAGACCGAGGCCGGAGGATTGCTGGAGCCCAGGAGTTCGAGACCAGCCTGGGCAACATAGTAAGACTTTGTTTCTACAAAAAAAGACTTTAAAACTCAGGCGTAGTGGCGTGGGCCTATAGTCCCAGCTACTCGGGAGGCTGAGGCAGGAGGATCGCCTGAGCCCAGGAGGTCGAGGCTGCAGTGAGCCGTGATTATGCCACTGCACTACCGCCTGGGCGACAGAGTGAGACTGTGACTCGAATGGATGAATGAATGAAATGGAAACAAGCAGAGAGAACCACGGAGAGGGGGTGACAGAGCATCGTCTTGCTGTACGGAGCCCCGCTGGGTCCCTTCGTCCCCTGGTGTCTGTGGCTTGTCTTTCCAAGTATAGACCACAAGCCATCTGAGGACAGGGGCTTTGTCTTTAGTTCATTCGGGGCGAGCGCCTCGCACAGAGTTGGAGCTCAGGAAACATTTGCGTCCTGATTAATTGGAGGGAAGAGATGAGACGGATGAGAGGAAAGCTGGAAACGCGGTTTGGAAACGGCGTGGATCTTGGGAGGAAGGAGCCGCCCATTGAAGAGACAGCACCATTGTAATAACAGGAGGAAAGGCGCCCCTTTCATCAGCACGCAGCGTTTTGGACCAGAGAAGAGACTCGTGAGCAGAGAGGCGCTGGTGCCCAGGGCTGCTCCTGGATGCAAGGGGAAATACAAATTATTTGAGACAGCGTTAGGAAGGCGGAAGCAATATCGTCTTTCTTTCTGGTAGTACGAGCAAAAGAAGGGGCGGGAGAGGGAGGGAGGCCCCTTGCGAGTCTGTGCCCCCCGTGCCACCAAAACAGAGGCTCGGAGGGGCGCAGGGTGGGTAGGGGGAGAGGGAGACGGCTCGGGAATGTGCCTGTCATCTTGGCTGGAGCGAGCTTGAATGGGAGACAGAGAGACTGAGAATAATGGGAATTGGTAGATCAATCAATCAGCAAATATTTATTGAGCAGCTACCCTGGCTGGCAGCTGGAGAGAGCTCAGCTGGAGGGAGGCACATTAGAAAATTGTCTATAAAAAGGTGGATGTGGGGGAGAGGGAGGGATGTGTTCTTCTGGAACACGATGGAAGGAGAAGCAGCCGGCTTTGTTGTACGACTCCCAGGGGTGTCATCCACACGGTGGCCTTTGTGAAAAGCCCCTCTGGAGTCGCACCGTGCACAGCCTGCCTGGCCGTCCGCACGGACCTAGGCGGAAGAACCCAACCCCATGGAAGAGCTGTGGTCCTGCCGAGCCCGAGGAGGGGCTGGGGAGGGCTTCCGGGGAGAGGCTGGGAGGCGCCCAGGATGGCGTGCTTATGCCTCCCTCTCTTCCTCCGCAGGGCTCTGGACGGTACTCCATCTACATCGCCAATTACGCCTACGGTAACGTGGGCCCTGACGCCCTCATCGAAATGGACCCCGAGGCCAGCGACCTGTCGCGGGGCATTCTGGCGCTCAGAGACGTGGCCGCAGAGGCTGGGGTCAGCAAATACACAGGTAGGCAGAGTGACACGGGAGACCGTGGGCCGGAGGGGCCAGGGGCTGGGGCTGGGGTCCAGGGCCGGCAGGGCTGAGCCTGAGTCCTCAGAGACCACGAGGAGAGGGTAGACCGTGTGCCCTCAGAGGGGGAGAAGAGAGCTCTTTTCCATCCTGTCCTGCCACCTGCAAGAGGCCCCCCCCATGCCACCTCTCCAGGGGTTGCTGAGATCCCTGGCAGGTGAGAGTTTCAGGGCACCCAGTGGGGACCATCGGGCACAGGGACTTGCTGGGAACACCACAGCATCCTTTGCCCCCACCCCCGCACCTCTCGCCCCGTTCCCCGCCGTAACCTCAGGGATGGGCGGGCAGGTTCTGTAGGAGAAAACCGACACATCGCAAAAGCCGAGATTTTAAAGCATTCTTTATTGCCAAATAGCAGATGAAATTATTTACTTACACATAAGCAGCCAGGAATTGAGTGCTAAATCCCTAAGCTTCAGCTGGGTCCCGTCTCGGATAACTGAGCTCAAAGAATTGTGTTCTTGTTCCAAAACCTCTCCAGCACTTATTTTTGAAGGCACGCTGCCCCCCTCGTCTTTCTGGATGGGGAAGCTATTGTCAGAGTCTCTGACAGGGAGATCTTTCTAGGGAAGGCTGTTTTTCTAATTCCAGCACGGCTGCTGACTAAACTCTGATAATCTGCCAATAGACTGCCGATGGCAGAGCCATCCAGTTCCTGTTCTGGGTGCCAGAAATCCAGAAGCCAGAGCCGCACACAGCAACTTCTCGTGTGAACTTCAGCCCCGCTCACGCCCAGCCTGCGCTTGGGCCGCAGATGCCTTCTTGTGGGTTGGCCTCCCGATTCTCCATCCCGAGGCGTGCTGCAGAGACTCCCCAAGCAGCAGCCTGCTCGAGTCTGAGTCCTGGGGGCTGCAAGGATACTCGAGGGTTCCTTTGGGACATCCCCCTGCCTCCAGACACCCGGGTGGCAGCTTCATCTCCAAGCTCTGCCCAGAAAGCATTATCACCGCCTCCCCTGGGTTCCCGGTGCCTCTCTCCAACCACCTGTCCACGCCGGGGCGAGGCGGGGGGTGGCACTGACCTGTCTGGCAAAGTTTGTGGACGGTAGACTCGTGTGCCCCACTGGAGCCCCATTCCAGGGTCCGGGAGCCCCGTGCGTGGGTGCAGAAAGGCCGTGTCTGTGATGCTCCACGTTTCCCTGGGAAGAAGAGCACACAGGCAAGTGCCTCTGCGTAGATTCATACAGTCCATTGTTTCTGAGTAGTTCCCCGTTCTGCCTTGATCTTGCAGGGGAAGCGGGCAGGACGGGCGAGCGGTGGCGGGGGTGAAGGGTTTGAACACGATGAGACGGAAGGGAGGCAGGGCCGGGGGCGTGGGTGAGGCACAGAAGAAAAGGATTCGGAGGCTGCGGCTGGGGTGAGCAGGAAGGGGGCATTGTTCACGCTGGCTGGGCTGGCACGGGACCCAGGAGGAGAAGGCGGGGACCCAGAGGAGCGCGGTAGGGGTGGAGCCCCCGCCAACTGCACCGGCTGGGCTGGAGGGCCGGGCGGCTCCCGTGGAGGCAGGGAGGGAGGCTGAGGCAGCTGGCGTGCCCAGAGGATGCGTTGGAACAGCTCCGTAGACTTCCAAGAGCCATTTGGCTGACAGGAAATCATTTGGCCCACCGTGTTACTATTCTGTCTGCCCGCCTTCCCCAGCCACCCTTTCCTGCCCGCCAAGCCCCCCACGCTCCCCTGCAGGCCCCCCCCTTGTCATTCGGCCGCCGACACATGGACATCTGGCTGGAACTCTAGCCCAGAGTGCCCCCCGAGCCCCAGGAACAGACCCCAAACGTGAGGGCCGCCATGCCGAGCCCGACCCGATGGCTGAGGCTCCGGGCACGTCGCCAGAGCTCAGCGCCAGGCTGGTGCCGGGGCGGGGGGGCTGGGAGGCAGGTGGGTAGGGAGGCAGGCCACGGCCAGATGTGCAGCCAGGAGCCAGAGGGTCCCCGGAGCCCGGCCGCACGGCACCCTTCTGCTGGTCGACCCCGGGAACCTCCCAGTGCGCCCACCAGCAGACCGGGTCCAGAGAGAGGGGACTCGCCCAAGGTCACATGGAGATGCCTAGGGAACAGAGCCCCCTCCAATGCCTCAACTGCCAACCAGCTGACCTTTCTGCTGACCTCCCGATGGGAATCCCACCAGTCTGCAGGACGGAGGGGCCGTGAGGAGAGGAGCGTCAGGTTGTCCGGGCTGATGCCTGGCCAGGGGGAGGCCCGGCCACCCCAGGGCAGGCTGGGCCACGGCGCCGCCTGCTCACCGGCTGTCCCGCTCTGCGGGAGGGGGAGGGGAGGCCTCCTCTCCAGACACCGTGGATTCCAGCAGCCGCCGCCGCTCTGCTGGGTCACAGTGCCATCTAGCGGCCACGTGCCCGCTCTCGGGGGACCGGAGGGCCCAGGGAGGGCAGTGGAGCCAGAGATCGGGGGCCACAGGAAGGCCATCCCCAGCCCCTGGTCCTCAACCTCCCCAGCTGCCTCTGGGAGCCACGACGTGCTGGGAGCTGCCCTACCTGGGAACCCCGGAACTGGGTTCTCGCCTGGTCGAGGGCCTGGCATGGCACCAGGGGAGGGGAGGGTGGGAGTCCTGACTGCCTCTGCTGCCCGGGGCCCAGGGACCTCAGGCACGAACCTCAGCTTCTTGGGCACGGGGTCAGAGTCTGGAGCCAGGGGACAAACGCTGAACCTCTCCCAGCCTCAGTTTCTCCGCGCTCAAAATGGGAGTGTTGTGAGAGTGAACAGAGGCACACGCGGGTTTAACTGGCATACGGTCAGTGGGCACCAAGCACGGCAAATACCAGCGCCCTCCTGCTCCCGGCTCGCCAGGGCCCCCTGCTGGGCATCTCGGGTGCAGGGAGCATGGAGCCAGTCAGACGCACGGAGAGGCCTGGCCTGGAGACATTCTCTGTCCTCCTGCCTGGCCTCCGGCCCCTGCTGGGACAGGGACACCTTCACTCTCGGCCCCACTGGAGTCCATCCCTCCTCCCTCCTTCCGCTCCTCCCCAGGAACTCCACATCTTGGCCTCGCCCTTTGAGGGAGCATCTGTCCGGGTGGCAAGGTGGTGATTAAAGAAGCCTTGCGAGAAATTTGGAAAGAAAATGAAGGTGGATTTATGATGTCGGGTGGGGAGTTTTGCTGTTGGCTGGGAGCGGCGTGGAACAAAGCGGAGGGCAGGTCTGATTTATAGGAAGTCATTACTGGAGGAGACGAGAAGCCCAGGGTCCAGCTGAGGCCTCCAGGCACCCCCGCCCCGCCCGTCCCCACCTCCCCACCGGCAGGCTCAACCAGGGCCCGTGGAGTGGAAGCCAAGGAGCCTCCCGGGCTCCCAGGCGGATCTAACAGCCAGGGACCAGGCAGTGCTAGAATGACAGGCCCCTCAGCTACAGCCCAGGACCCCCCGGGAGTACAGCGTGGGCGTGCCTAGGAGACTCCAAAGCCCAGGGCACACAGGGACCTTTTCCCGAGGTGCCGTGTGCATTCGAGGAGAGTCTAGAAGCAGCGTCATTTTTCGTTTAAAACAAACACAGACATGTTATAGCATAGAAATGTAATGTCTGTATACATTTTTCTTGGCTAACACAAGGGCTTTTAAAGAAATGTCAGGTCTCTGACTGGCCACTCTGGGTTACACCCTCAGGCCTGCTGGTACAAATCTGTCTGTTGAGAGGGAACTATGGGAGAGCTGCCTCCAGCCCCCCGCGTTCTGAGAGACAGGGCGGGGTGGGGGGAGTCCTTGTCTAACGCCCTCCCCTCCACGTGGCCGAGCCCTGCCCGGTATCTGAAAGCACCTGGAAGGCTTGGGAGTGGCCACACTGGTGCTGCACGGGACTCTTCTGTTTTAGAATTTTTCAGTAAACCGAAGAGGAGAGACCCTGTTCCCACCCTGCGTCTTATCCCCACACTCCCTTCAACACACGCACGCACAGTCTTCTCCTCCTCCCCACGTTTTCCAGCACTTTGGCCTGCTCTCTTAATACCTTGGAGGTTCTTGGCTGCCTGCAGTTCATGGCGTCCACCAGAATCCTATTTCTGTCAAGGTCCCGGCAGGTGAATCCCCTGGGTCTGAGCCCCTTGGCTGGCGGGCCTCACTGCAGAGTCTCTGTGGGTGCAGGGATCGGCTCCGACAAGCTGACCCTGGGAGCCACCCTGGAGGAGGCATTCATTGGAAAGGAAAGCTGGGGGAACTTTGGAGATCTTCTCGCTTCCCGCCCACCTCCACCCCTTTGCAGGAAGGAGACGGAGGCCTGGAGAAGACTTCCCAAGTCCTGCAGGTGGGGGGGGGGCCCAGCGGAGCCTTTCCTTAGGGAGTCCCTGGCCAGGGACCCTCAGGCCCACCACGTCACGCCCCCTCCCCACAGCCTCTCCCTCCCTCAGCTCTTCCACCGCCCCCAGTCCCTGAGGGCCGGCCCGATGAAATGCCAGGGTTCAGAGGTGCAGGGGTACAGTTCTGAGGACACCCCAGGCTGCCCACGGGGCCGGGATGATAAGCATGTCATCAGAGGAGTGCTGGAATGTGGCTAGATGAAATGGGGGTCACCCTCCCAAGCCTGGTGGGCAGATGAGCAGAGAAGCCTTCCAGGAGCGACGGGCCAGGAGGAGCGTTCACACCCAACAGCAGAACAAGGGGGTCTTTGAAGCTTGAAAGTGCTGGGAAAAATAAAGGGATGTTATTCACCCAGCAGGTGGTAAATAGTCCCAGCTAATGACAATGTGGCACCTGACATTTTCCAAGGCACCTTCCAAAAACCAGCTCACTTCATATTTATGACAGCCTTGAGAAGGCGCTGTTATTATTGTCACTCCTATATCGCAGCTGAGAAAACAGAAGCCCAGAAGTCAGTGATGTGCTCAAGGTCACACAGCCCAGACTTGACCCTTCCGACCCCCAGTTCCGGGGTCTTTTCCGCCAGCCGGCGCTGCCTCTCCGGCCTCAACCGAGGCAGTGCCCCCAAGAGAACGTGC